CTCAGCACAGCAGAGCCATTTTAACTCTTAATCAACTTTTTTCTTTTTATTTCACAGAACAAATTCTCCATTGGTTTTTTAATTTTCGAAGACAGCACTGATTCAAAACAGTAAAAGAAAAATACTAAGACTCCTATAGAGCCTCTATATTACAACAACTATGTGACAATCTTCAGACTCATGCAGACTTATACAAAATACAACGAAACAGAACAAAACAACACAAAACAAACAATTCTAACTAACTAACTGAAAGCTACTGCAACAAAATATTGAGTGATTTAGAAGGCTCTACCAGAGGGACAACTGCCTTGTCTCTGGTTATAGGTTCACCTTGATAGATTTTTAGTCTCTGGCCATTTACCTTGAACCTCCTGCCATCTTTGGCACATTGAATTTCTATTGCCCCATGTGGAAAAACTTCTACAATTTCAAAGGGACCAGACCATCTTGATTTCAGTTTGCCAGGGAAAAGCTTAAGCCTAGAATTAAACAATAGCACTTTTTGGCCTGGCTCAAAACACCTTTCCTGAATGAGATTATCATGCCATCGCTTCATTTTTTCCTTGTACAACTTAGCATTTTCATATGAGTTCATTTTAAATTCATCTAAGTTGTTTAACTGAAGCAACCTATTCTCAGAGGACTGTTTGTAATCCATGTTCAGCCTTGCAAGAGCCCAGTAGGCCTTGTATTCTAACTCTAATGGTAAGTGACATGCCTTGCCAAAAATGAGTCTATATGGTGAGCAACCTATTGGAGTTCTATAGGCTGTTCTATAGGCCCACAGGGAGTCTTCTAGCTTTAGTGACCAGTCCTTTCAAGACTATAGCTACAAGAATGTATTTATTACCATTTGAAGGGGGGAAGGGACCCATGAAATCTATCCCCCACACATCAAACACTTCAACCTCAAGAATAGGATTTAGAGGCATCTCATTCCTACGTGTGATATTGCCAGTCCTCTGACACCTATCACACTTACTAGCTATTGTATATGCATCCTTAAAAATGCTTGGCCAATAAAAGCCAGATTCCAATACCTTGGCAGCAGTCCTTACTCCACCATAATGCCCTCCATATGGGGAGCTATGGCAGCTGTGCAGAATTTGGTTTTGCTCCATTTCTGGAACACATTTTCTCAAAATCTGATCTGCACATTTTTTAAATAAATGAGGTTCATCCCAAAAATAAAATTGCACATCATGGAGAAATTTCTTTCTCTTATGTGTGTTCAAATCATCAGGCAGCACTCCTGCAGCCAAGTAATTGGCAAAATCAGCATACCAAGGGGTGCTTGAGGCACTTATGGCTAACAAAGATTCATCAGGGAACATGTCCCTGATTGGTACAGAATCTTGTTCTGTTTCATTGGACCTAAGCCTAGACAAGTGGTCAGCTATTTGATTTTGGGTGCCACTCCTATTTACTATTTTTACTTGGAATTCTTGTAGGAGTAACATCCACCTAATGAGCCTTGGCTTACTGTCTTTCTTCTCCATTAAGTATTTAATTGCTGAATGGTCTGTGTGTACTATTACCTCAACCCCAAACAAATAGCTCCTGAATTTTTCAAATGCAAATATCACTGCAAGGAGCTCTTTTTCGGTCACAGTATAATTTAATTGGGCACCTTGCAAGACCTTGCTTGCATAATAGATGGAATGAAAAATCTTATCCTTCCTCTGCCCTAGCACAGCACCTAGGGCCCACTCACTAGCATCAGTCATCACCTCAAAAGGCAGGGACCAATCTGGTGCCACAATTATGGGAGCTGAAACCAGTTTGGTTTTTAGCTCTTCAAAGGCCTTCAAGCAAGGCTCATCAAAATTAAAGGGTTTGTTAGCCTCCAGTAGACTACTTAAGGGCTTAGCCACCTTAGAGAAATCCTTTATAAATCTTCTATAAAACCCAGCATGGCCTAAAAAGCTTCTTATGCCCTTGACATCTCTAGGTGGTGGTAGCTTATCAATGAGTGCAATCTTAGCCTTATCTACCTCTAAACCAGATTTTGAAACCTTATGGCCTAGGACTATACCCTCTTGCACCATAAAATGACATTTTTCCCAATTCAAAACCAAATTAGTCTCCTCACATCTCTGTAAAACTCTAGACAAATTCAGCAAGCAATTTTCAAATGAATCTCCAAATACAGAGAAGTCATCCATGAAGACTTCTACATACTCATCAATCATGTCATTAAAAATGGCAGTCATGCACCTTTGAAAGGTGGCAGGGGCATTACAAAGCCCAAAAGACATTCTCCTAAATGCAAATGTGCCATATGGACATGTGAATGTTGTTTTATGCTGGTCTTCTGGAGCTAAGGGTATCTGGTTATAACCAGAATACCCATCAAGGAAGCAAAAATATTCTTGGCCAGCAAGCTTGTCAAGCATTTGATCTATGAAAGGTAAGGGAAAATGGTCTTTTTTAGTGGCTGCATTTAATTTCCTAAAGTCTTGACAAATCCTCCAACCGGTTATGGTTCTAGTTGGAATAAGCTCATTTTTTTCATTAAGCACGACTGTGATACCTCCCTTTTTAGGGACACAGTGCAAAGGACTTACCCAACTACTATCACAAATGGGATATATCACACCAGCATCCAACCATTTAATCACTTCCTTTTTTACAACTTCTTTCATGGTTGGATTGAGCCTTCTTTGAGGCTCAATAGAACTGGCATTTTCATCAACTAGCCTTATCCTATGCATACAAAAAGAAGGGCTAATACCTCTAATGTCAGCCATGGTCCAGCCAATGGCTTTCTTGTGATTTTTAAGCACACTTAGGAGCTGATTCTCCTCATTATTTTTGAGGGCAGCAGCTACAATTACAGGGAGGGTATTATCTCTTCCTAGAAAAGCATATTTAAGGTGAGTTGGGAGTTCTTTCAACTCCACTTCAGGTGGTTCCACAATGGAAGGTTTAAGAGGTTTGGTGACTCTCTCATGAAGTCCTAGGGACTCAAAATGTTTGTCACCAAAGAACTTAGTAGGATAAGACTTCAATGCACATGCATGATCATGATTAGATGCATTATTTTCATAAAATTCAAAAATGGCAGAATCACATGCAGAGTCATTTATTTCCAAATTTTCGTGTAAATGGGCAGCAACTAAAGTATCAATTACAGATATAGCAGAACAATCATCAACATCATCATCTACATATTTCATGGCTTTAAAAACACTAAAGGTCATAGTGTCATCATTTACCCTCATTGTTAACTCTCCTTTTTTCACATCTATCATTGCACCCCCTGTAGCTAAAAATGGTCTTCCTACTATAATAGGAATATTTTCATCAACTTCACAATCAAGGATAATGAAGTCAGCTGGAAAAATAAATTTTTCCACTTTTACTAAAATATTTTCCACTTTTCCTTCAGGGTATACAATAGACCTATCAGCTAATTGGAGAGTTAATGTTGTGGGTGCAGATTTTATTCCTAATTGCTTAAAAATGGAAGCAGGCATCAAATTAATGCTAGAGCCTAAATCACATAAAGCTCTACCAATATACCTATCTCCTATAACACAAGGAATAGTAAAAGAACCTGGATCCTCCATTTTAGGAGGTACTTTTGTAGAGACAATGCTGCTGCATTCTTTGGTCAGTGCCACTGTTTCGAACTCCTCTATTCTCCTCTTTCTTGATAGGATGTCCTTCATGAATTTGATGTAGCTTGGCATGTGTTGAAGGGCCTCCACAAATGGAATGTTGATCTGGAGTTGTTTGAGGATGTCTAAGAACCTTTTAAAGTGCTGCTCCTGGTTTTGTTTTTGTAGCCTTTGTGGAAATGGAATCTGCCTTGCCCTTGATCTTGGTGAAGTGCCTTCATTTTGCTGCGTAGGTTTGGCTGGCTCCTTTGATTTAGGTGCTGATTTTTCTGTTTTTCCCAAATCACCTTGCTCCTTGTTGTTTTCTGAGTCTTGCACTTCAATTACATTAGGCTCTTCCTCTTCTTCAATTGGTTGAACATTTTTTTCTGCCAACTTCCTCAAGGTAGAAGGCCTAATAACATGCTCTGGTTGTTCAACCTCTCTTCCATTTCTCAAATGGAGAGCCTTACAAGATTCCTTTCCCTCTCTCCTTGGTGCTTCAGTATCACTAGGAAGAGTTCCCACCGGTCTATTGCTAAGAGAGGAAGCAATCTGCCCCATTTGTGTCTCTAAGCTTTTTAAGATTGCTCCATGACTTTGAAGCATGGCCTCATGATTTTGCAGCATCCGGTTTGACCACTGATCATTAGGAAGAGGCTGAGCTTCTGCATTAGATTGCCCTTGCTGATCTTGAGGCATTTGTGAGTTGAAACCAGGTGGAAATGGGACTTTTGGCTGATAAGGTTGCTGCCCTCCTTGGAAGGGTTGATTCTGATTTCTATTTCCAACATTTTGATGGTAATTTTGGCCCTGATTCTGGCCAAAATTCCCACTTTGTTGCTGCCATCTGCCTTGGTTATAATTTCCTCTATTATTGTAGTTTTTGTTGTAGTCACCAACATAAAAGGCTGAAGAGGGGTTGCTTGGGCATTCTTCGAAAAAATGAGCTCCATAACAAAGGGAGCAGATTGGTGTTGTTTGAGCCACTTGAGCAGGTGGTTGATGTTTAGTTTCAGCCATTTGCTTGACTAAAACCTTGAAAGTGTTATGCATTGCTGCCATCTCAGCTGCCATGGATGTTATTTCAGTCACTTCATAAAGTCCAGCTGCCTTCTTTGGAGCTTCATCTCTTTGTTCAGGCCATTGGCAGCTGTTTTGGCTTATCCTCTCAAGTGTCTCAAAAGCTTCTGGATACCTTTTCAATAAAAACATTCCATTGGCAGTGGCATCCAAGTGAGTTTTGCCTTGGTGACTCAATCCTCTGTAGAAAATCTGAATGGTAGCCCACTTAGGAAGACCATGGGTGGGACACTTTTTAATCAGCCCCTTAAATCTAGTCCAGCTCTCATGGATTGACTCATCAACATACTGTCTGAACCCTGTTATGTCATCCCTCAAATCACATACCTTTGTGGGTGGGAAAAACCGCATAAGGAAGGCTTCTCCAAGCTCCTTCCATGTGGTGATGGACTGTGCAGGCAAATCTTCTACCCATTCTTCTGCTGCCCCAGCTAAAGAGAAGGGAAACAGCCTCATTCTCATGGCATCTGTGGACACCCCATGAACAGCAAATGTATCGGAAATTTTCATAAATTTCGTAATATGCTTGTGGGGATCTTCCTTGGGTAATCCATGGTATTGAGTCATGGATTGCAGCAGCTGTATCATCCCTGGTTTGAGATCAAAGTTCCCCTCCACTCCAGGCTGGACAATACCAGGAACTACTCCATCAAGTGATGGAATAGCATATTCAGCAATGGGAAGCTCTTCATCCACCATAACTAGAGCATGGTTGCCATTCCCATTGCCATTGATGTTTTCTCCATTAACAGATCCTTGGTTCGACTCTGCCATCTTCAATAGGTTGTAGTAATGCTTATTGCTGTAATCTAAATTGAATTCTGCAGAAATCTCACAAGAACTTAGAATTGGAGTTAGTAGGTAACAAGACAAAAATGTAAAAAGGAAAAAGATTCAATAAAAAAAATAAAAATCAAGAATTCTAAAACAGAATCACAAAAAGAAAATGAAATCAAACACCGTTCCCCGGCAA